GCAACAACTTCTTCAGTTCCAGCACACTCTCCACCCTTTTCTTAAGGCTCTTCTGAGCTGCTTTACAGTGCCCTTTATCTTGGCATTAGCAGAGCTTGTTTCCATAAGTATCTTTAGAGTTGTGTGCCAGTCAACACTACATGTGAACAGTATTTCCCTGTCCGAGGGCTCCTAAGTTATAACAACCCATCCCCTATTCCCTATATTACAACTTCTTTCCAGAAGTTAGGGTTTCCATGTTTTCTGTATGTCTTTTAGTGTTTCTGTTTTCTAACCTGTAAAAGTGTTTACATTAATTTCTCTCTTAAAATAATTAGCTTGGTTTTGTTTTTCCAATTCACTTATGACTGAGACCAACCACACCATATAAATTGAGCCAGATATAGTCCAATTTGTAGCTGAGTGACTTGTCTAAAATTCTGAAAACTACCAGGAGGCATAGCTAAAATAAGATGTCAGGCTTATGTCTTCACTTTAACAATGCTGATCATAGGAGAAAAGCCAGGAGATATGACAGTTACCCAACTTTAAAATAATAATATAAGAATATGTATAGAATTATTAAATATAAACATATGAATGCTAAATAATCAGTTCTCTTTTGGGGAAATACAACCATGTATACTCCCCCTTCAAAAACACATAAGAAACAAATTAGTGGGGGAAAATGAAGAATTCACAGGGGTAAATATAATAGTCCATTGGAATACTAAAGCTATGTGCAAGTCAGAAAACAAATGGATGAGTAGAACAGTCTAAACAAACAGAAAAAATTAAATTAAATAAATCTAATTCTAAAATGGGGAAGCTTCGATTTAAGGTAGACTTCTCCTAGCCTCAAAAAATCAGAAACGTCTTCTATTAAATATATTACTGGAAGTAGTTGCCATAGCAGTTAGGCAATCAGAAGATATAAAGAACATTTAGAAAGGAAAGAAAGAATTCAAGCTAGCACAGTTTGTGGATGACATAATACTATGCTTAGAAAATTCTAAAGACTACCAAAAAAAAACTTCTAGAAGCAATAAGTTTGTATTGTAAAGTAGCAGGTACAAAATCAATACTTAAAAGACCATGGCTTTCCTATACACAAATAATAAAAGAGAAACAAAGACATTAAAGAAACAATCCTGGTCACAATTGTGCCTCAGAAAAACCAAGTATCTTGAAATCAACTAAACTAAAGAGGTGAAGGAAAAAATAGAGGTGAAGGAACTGTACCAAGAAAACTAAAAAATGCTACTTTAATAAATAAAAGAGGAAACAAGGAAATGGCGACACATCCCCTGATCATGGATTGGGAGAATTAACATTGTATAAATGGCAATACTCCCCCCAAAAAATACATTATACAAATTTAATGTGGTTCCTATAAGAATATCCATGACATTTTTTCAAATAAATAGAAAAAGCACTCCTGAAATGCATATGGTACAACAACTCCCTGCAGATAACTGAAGGGGAAAAAAGCTGGGCAGCATCAATTCCGCAAATTCAAACTGTACTTCAAAGCTCTAGTAGTTAAAACAGCATGGTAGTAGAATAAACACAGACCCACAGATAAATAGAATAGAGTTAAATACCCTGACCCGCAAAAACATGTTCGCGTAGTCTTTGATAAAGGAGCAATAAATGTGAAATGAAACAAGGAAAACTTCTTCAACACGTGGTGCTGTGAAAACTGGGCAGTTACATGCAAAAATTGAACTCAGACATCTGTCTTATGCCAGGCACAAAGGTCAGATAAAAATTGATTAAAGACCAAATATCTGACCTGAATCTATAAAGTATATAAGGAAATCATAGGCAGACCCCTCTATGACACTGAAGCTAAAGGAATCTTCAATTATAAAACACTACTGACCAAGAAATGGGACTATATTCCACTAAGAAGCTTCTGTGCCTCAAAAAAAAAATAGTGACCAAAATATAGAGACAGCTCACATAATAGGAAAAAAAATTTACCCAATACCCATCAGATAAGGATTAACACCCAAGATATAAAAAACACTGTTAGAACTTTAAAAAGAAAAAAAAAAGCAACAACATCCAAACCCATCAAAAAATGGGAGATTAAGAAAAACTTCCTCAAAAAAGAAACACAAATATACAAAAGACAAATGAAAAACTATTTTACTTCACTAATCATCAGTGAGATACAATTTAAAATAACAGTGAGATATCTTAGACCACAGGGACTTACACACATCAAAAAGACAAGAAGAACTAGTGCTGGTGCAGATGTGGGGAGAAAGGGACTCTCATTCATTTCATTGTTGGTGGGAATGCCGACTGTTCCAACCTTTTTTTTGGAAACTTGTTCATTCTAGAAAAAATAAACCTGTAAACTGAACACCCATAAGACCCAGCAATACCACTTCTTGGAATATACACTGGGAGCACAAATTCATACCGCAGAAATACCATCTATACTACTATGCCCAATGCAGAACTATTTACAATAGTCAGAATCTGGAAACAATCCAAGTGCCCAAGAACAGAAGACCAGTTAAAGAAAATCATGGTACATCTACACAATGAAATACTATGTAGCTGTTAAGAAAAATGAAATTATGAAATTTTCTTAAAAATTGATGAGCATAGAGAATATTATATTGAGTAAAATGAGTCAGAAGGAGAGGGACAGACATAGAATTATTGCACTCATTCGGGGGATTTAAAAAAGAATTTTATGAGACTAATGCATAAGAGTAGTAGAAACAAGGATCAAGAGAGTTGGTTCATAGTTAGAAATCTGTCTAAAGTTCTGTGGGAGAAGGCAGTTGGGATAGAGAAGGGACCACTATGACAATAAAAGTTGGAAATGATCACTCTGGATAAGAACTGTGTGCTGAAAGTTGGTAAAGGAACAAACATAATAACTTCTCAGTACCCGTATTGCAAACCATAGTGTATAAAAGGAGAGATATGTAGATAAATAAAGTACATACCACAAAGGCAGACTGATGAGGATGGTTGTGGCAGGAGAGGAAACTGGGACACTGGTGAGAGGAAATGTAAAGCTGGTGAAAGGGTGGGTTTTGGGACATTGTATAACTGAAACACAACCACAAATATCTTTGTAAATATATACCAAAGTGATTCAATAAAATGCAATTAAATCAGAAATGTTTAGAAGTGGTAGCTATTAATTTTCTATAAAGGTGATTCTGTAGCAACGGAATTTGTCAAAATGCTTTGAAGTAGCATGAGTTCTCCACATCTTAGATCTCCACATCTCCCTTTCTCACATCTCACAGCATAGCGTATCTTTTTTCACAAACCACTCAAAGATTATAATTTGAAAGAACAACCATAATAGCATAAGACTGAAAACATTGTGGGCACAAAAATGAAAAGTTTGCATGGAAGGTGGTACACAATTGAAATCTCATGGCTGAAAGTAACTTATAAGGGAGAGCAAATACTCATGGAGTTAGAGTTCTGAGAAGATTCTTTTGTCATGTGAATAAAAGTTAAGATTGATGAAGTTTCTGGGAAAAGTCTAGTGGGTGATGTGATTTCTGAGAATTTATGTTTTCTCTCTATGAAGAGGCAGAGATGAGTGGAAAGGTTTTGGAGAAGCAACCCTAAGTTTAAGTTCTATCTATCCTATTTGAGTCAGAATAAGAATGCCATTTTTCTTTTCCACCTTTCTTCTACATGTTACCATCACCTTAAAGAATGAATCTTTAAATTCACATTAGAGAGGATTATGTCACAAATTTTATTCAGTTATCTGTTTTATAGTTTTAAGTGGTTGCCAACACTTTGAACTTAATCATTGTTGTAAAAGTAATTTCACTCAGGACCAAAAGATAGTACAATGCATAGGACATTTGCCTTGCACACATGGTTGCCTCAGGTTCTATCTACTGCACCATATATGGTCCCCCAAATACTGTCAGGAATGATCCCTAAGCACAGATTCAGAAATAAGCCCTGAACATTTCCAGGTGTGACATAGAAATGTAAAAAAAATTTAAAGTAATTTTATTTGAGTGCTTCTTTGAAGACTGGCTGGTACTTGAACAATGGATGTATGTTGTAGAGTGCACCTGGATGGAAGGCATGTTGTTTTAGAAGGAGGAGGTAGTCTGTTCATTAATTTATGTTACTTTTCAATTCCTTTTTTTAAACAATGACAATGTATTCAATTAATGGAGAAATATATTTAAAAGGAGTAATATGTGACAGAAACAGTTAGTATTCATTAAAATCTGACATTCCTTATCAAGTACTTGTATCTTGAGTATCACCATGTCCCAAGTGTGAAATTGAGGTATATAATAACCTATATTATTTTCAGGAAAGGTGGTACCCCATACTATATTACTATTCTCATATATTAAGACATGAGATAAAATAACATGCCATTTTTAAATGATTCATTTAAAAATGATTTTTAATATGATTTAAAATGGTTAAATGCATTTCTAACAAGTGCCAGTTCACTGCAGGAATATCCAAATACATTATCATAGGTTCATCTTATAAAATAGAAGCACTGTATTACAGAAGTCTCCTCTGAAGAATCTGTTAAGGAACCAAGTAACTAAGATAACTAGACTGTTCTTATTCATTTACATACATTAATGATCAGATTCAAACTTCTTATGTATGATTTGATTTGGTATAAATTGAATATAAAAAACAAATATAAATAATTACCTTAATTCTTATATTTGTATTATAATTATTTTTTAAGAATCAGTAGATATTCATTCCATTTTTAAGAAACAATTCCTGTATGTGGATCATTAATAATTGCAACTAATTTCAACCTAACAGTTGCATAAATATCATTGACTGTGTATGCTATGTAATTACAAGAGTGGGGAAAATTCTGATCATATTTTTGTAAAAGTTTTGTAAAATTACTTAACTAAAATATGATTTACAGTTAATTTAAAACTAAAATATGACAAGTATGCAGCTTGAACCAGGCTAGCAATTCCTTTTGAGAACTGGCTTCATGGTTTTTTAAGAAAAAGAATTATCTAATACATAGTTCTCTTAGTTTCTTTTAGGTCATGAATTTCTGGAAGATCTGAGGGTATTATTTTCTTTTCTAATGAAATCATGTAAATCCTAGGAGGAAGTTCATAGGGTTTGGTGTTCTTGTGTAGTTTCTCTTCTCTTTTCTTCATAATTTCCTTGAAGTGTTTTTGTTCCTTAAGTTCCTTATCTCTTTGTTCCTTGGCCTCGCGTATTGTGTCTTCTATCTCTCGAAGTTTTAGCTCTTTGTGCCACTGTTACAAGAGAGAAAGTGTCATTGCACATGACAATACTCAGTTTTGCTCTTAAAAATGCAGGTATCTTATTTGATTTTTTTCTCACATATATCCTTCAGCGATATATAACTTAGAATACTGTAAAATATATAAAGTATTGGTAAGTAAGCATATGCATCCCTTAAAACACAAAATTTCCTCAACAAATTTCATTGGCAATAAAGCATTCCAATAGAAACACCAAAGTTTAGACTGTAACAATGGCAGGGCTATTAAAAGGGTATTCATCTTACAAGAGTCTGATCTAAGTTCAATCTTTGTTATCCCATATGGTATCACATTCCTCAGCACTGCCAGGAGTGATACCTAAGCATTGCTGGATGTGATTTAAAACTTAAACAAAAAGAATAACCAAATTAAAGTAAAAGGCAGGACTATTGATAGTGCTATATATGATCCTGAATACAAAATTAATGAGAAATGAAATATTGCTTTTGCAAAAAATGCTTCTAAGGGATTTATTCCAAGTATGAATGTTAAGTTATGCCAATTATAATCTATCTGGAGGCAGAACACTAAGAATAAATAGTTGCAAATAATGAAAACAAATTAAACATCACTAAGAATCCTAGTCCACTTTAAATATCTTTTATAAGTAAAAGATAAGTAAGTAAGACCCATGGCCTAGAATGGAACGAACAGGGTGAGAGACTGTCAGAGTTCATCATGTCGACCAAGACCATCCATGGTAACTCACAGTTCCAGAAGGCAGAATCTAAACGATGGACATGGGAGTCTCCCGGTGGACGATTCCACAACGAAATAGACCACATCATATTCAATCGACGGTTTTGCCTGACTGATGTCGCTGTTGTCCCAAAATTTCGAACGGGATCGGACCACCGTCTCCTTTGTGCAAAATTCTACTTCACAGAGCGGGGAGAAAGGGCTGCAAAGTTCAAAAAGAGAACTCCCAGAATGACCACCAACTGGGAACTCTTTGGTACTATTGCGGCAACATGGGAAGATGCCATTGTTGACAACATTGACGAGGAATACGATCGACTGGTTCAGCACCTCCATGCATGTGCGAGGAACGCCAAGAGAGAGATAGCCACAAAAAGTCGCCTATCTTCGAAAACTCTTGAGCTAATTCGCCAGCGTGGTTTGGCGCATGCCTCAGGTAACCGCAAGCTAACGTCCGAGCTTGCAAAGCAGTGCAGAGATGCGATCAAGGAAGACCTCAAAGAGAGAAGAGCAGAAGTACTGGTAGATGCGGCAGAAGCCGGGAAAAGTATTCGTAAGGCCCGCCTGTCCTTCGCCAACTATAAGAGCAAGATGACTGCCCTCCGACGTCCTGATGGATCCATCACATCCTCCAGAACGGCAATGGAGAAGATTATCCATGACTTCTACTCAAATCTCTTCGATAGCCATGTCCACTTGCCAACATACCAAATTCCACAGGATGGGTATGTTGTTCCCAACGTTCTCCCCTCCGAAATCCGACACGCCATTTCGTCGGTAAAGAAACAAACAGCACCCGGCCCAGACAAGGTCAGACCTGAGCACCTGAAGAACCTGCCGTCAGTACTCATCAATACACTGGCTCGGCTCTTCACTCGCTACCTGTCTGAATGCAAGGTTCCGTCCCAATGGAAAACCAGCAGGACCGTACTACTGTTCAAGAAGGGAGACATCCATGACATTGGCAACTATCGCCCGATCTGCCTATTGTCTGTCATCTACAAGTTGTTCACTCGAGTCATCCTGAATAGGATTGGCAGAACACTAGATGAAGGACAACCATGCGAGCAAGCAGGGTTCCGCAAAGGATTCAGCACCATCGACCATATCCACACGATAACCAAGCTCATTGAGGTTTCTCGGGAGTTCAAGATGCCGCTCTGCTTAACGTTCATTGATTTAAAGAAGGCCTTTGATTCTGTTGAGACGGAAGCGGTCATTGAAGTCCTAGCCAATCAGGGCATTCAAGCCCAATACATCAGGATCCTCCGTGAGCTGTATTGCGGATTCACTACCAGGATCTCACCATTCTACAAAGAAGTGATCGTTGATGTCAAGAGAGGGGTGCGGCAGGGTGATACCATTTCACCGAAACTCTTCAGTGCCACCCTCGAGAACATCATGCGACGACTGGAATGGGAAGGAATGGGAGTGAAGATAGATGGTCGGCAATTACACCACCTCCGCTTTGCTGATGATATTGTTTTAATAATACCAAACATCAGCCAAGCGGCACAAATGCTGGCCGACTTTGACCGTGAGTGTGGAAAGGTAGGACTACAGCTGAATCTTACGAAGACAATGTTTATGAGAAACAGCCTTGTTCCTGACGCCCCATTCGCTCTCAATGGAACGACCATCTCCGAATGCAACAGCTATGTGTACCTAGGTCGAGAGGTCAACATGACAAATGACCTGGCACCCGAGCTGCGCAGGAGGAAGAGAGCGGCTTGGAATGCCTTCAAGAACGTCGAAGATATAGCTAAGAGGACGAAGAACCTCCGGCTCCGGGCACATCTCTTTGATTTCACTGTTCTTCCTGCATTAACATATGCCTCAGAGACCTGGGCCCTACGCAAACAAGATGAGAACGCCATTCAGGTCTCCCAAAGAAGAATAGAAAGAGCTATGCTTGGAATATCACGTTTCACTCAATTGAGAGAAAGAATCCGGAGTTCTGACATCCGTCGACGATCAAGGATCAGGGACGCTGTCTCATTTGCCAAGGTGTCGAAAATCAGATGGGCTGGTCACGTAATGAGATTTAAAGACGACCGTTGGACTAGAGCTGTTACTGATTGGATTCCACGGGATGTCAAGAGACCGCGTGGCCGCCCACCTACCAGATGGTCAGACTTCTTCCTGAAGATCATGAACGATCGGTTTGAGGCCCTTCATGTTCCCGGAGCGAACAGATGCCATTGGGCTACACTAGCACGCGACAGGGACAAATGGAGACGTTACTGGCGCCTGCTCGAGCAAATCGACGACTAACGGGAAGCTAAGTGATTAAGTGATTAAGTGAAGTAAAATCCTCAAGAGAGGAGGTAATTTCTCTCTAAGATGAGTGAAGAGTCAAGGACTTAATAACCCGTGGCATGAAAGATTACAAAGATTAGAACATATTCCGGAGAGATAGCATGGGGGTAAAAGTGCTTCACTTGCACCTGGCTGATGCCTAAATCAGTGAACACCTTATAAGGTCCTGCCAGATGTTAAGTATTGGGCACATTGGTTAGGGAGGATTAACATTATCAAAATGGCAATACTGCTCAAAGCACTATACAAATTTAATGGAGTCCCTATCAGGATACCCATGATATTTTTCAAAGAAATAGACAAAACACTCCTGGAATTCATACAGAACAATAAACCCTCACGAGTAGCTAAATCAATCCTTGGGAAAAAGAAGATGGGTGGCATCACCCTCCCAAACTTCAAACTTTACTACAAACCAGTAGTAATTAAAACAGCATGGTACTGGGCTAGAAACCGATCTGCAGACCAATGGAACAGACTTGAATATTCTGTCACAGACCCCAAAATGTACGATCATTAAATTGTTGACAAAGGAGCAAGAAATGTTAAGTAAAACAAGGAAAGTCTCTTCAACAAGTGGTGCTGGGAAAACTGGATAGCCACCTGAAAAAATATTAACTCTGACCTCTTTCTAATGCCAGGCATAAAAGTCAGATTAAAGTGGATTAAAGACCTCAATATCAGACACAAATTTATAAAGTACATAGAGGAAAATGTAGGCAGAACTCTCCAAGACATTAATGCTAAAAGCACCTTAGGATGAAACAGCACTGACCATGCAAGTGGAAGCAAACATAAACAAATTGGACTATATCAAACTAAGAAACTTCTACACTTCAAAAGGTAAAAAGGTAAAGGCCCTCCCATTGTTCATCGATTTGCTTGAGCGGGCCCATTAACGTCTCCATTGAAGATTTTGTTGTTACTGTGTTTGGCATATCGAATACATCACGGGTGGCTTGCCAGGCTCTGCCATGTGGGCGAGATACTCTCAGTAGAAACAGTGACCAAAATACAGAAAGAGCCTACAAAATGGGAAAGAATATCTACCCAATACCCATCTGAAAAGGGATTAATATTCAGGATATACAAGACACTAGTAGAATTGTACGGGAAAAAAAAAAACCCTCCAACTCCATAAAAGATGTGGAGAAGAAATGAACAGATGTTTCCTCAAAAAAGAAATACAAAGGCTAAAAGGCACATGAAAAAATGTTCCACATTGCTAGTCATCAGGAATATGCAAATCAAAATAAGAACAATGAGATATCATCTCACACCATGAAGACTGGCACACATTCAAAAGAACAAAAGCAATCAGTGTTTGGTATGGATGTGGAGGAAAAGTGATGCTCTTTCACTGTTGTTGGGAATGTCCACTTGTCCAGCCTTTCTGGAAAACAATATGGACAGTCATTCAAAAACAAGAAATTGAGCTTCCCTATGATCCAGCAATACCACTTCTGGGAATATATCCCAAGGATGCAAAAAAAGCACAGTAGAAATGACATCTGTACCTATATGTTCATTGCAGCACTGTTCACAATAGCCAAAATCTGGAAACAACCCAAGTGTCCTAGAACAGATGACTGGTTAAAGAAACTTTGGTAAATCTACATAATGGAGTACTATGCAGCTGTTAGGAGAGATGAAATCATGAACTTTGTTTATACATGGATAGACATGGAGAGTATCATTTTAAATGAAATGAGTCAGAAAAAAAGAGGGACAATACAGAAGGACTGCACTAATTTATGGAGTAGAAAACAACATAACATGAGACTGACTCCAAAGGATATTAGATACACGGGACAGGAATATTGCTCCATAGCTGGAAGCCTGTCTCATAAGCAAAGGGTAGAAGACAGCTGGAACAGAGAAGGGATCACTAAGAAAGTGATGGCTTGAGGAACCGATCGGGATGGGAGATGTCTGCTGAAAGTAGATAAAGGTCCAAACATGATAACCTCTCAGGGTCTGTATTGCAAACCATTATGCCCAAAAGTAGAGAGAGATTATGGGGAATCATGTCTGCCATGGAGGCAGAAGAAGGGTGTGAAAGGGGGGGTATACTAGGGATATTGGTGGTGGAAAATGTGCACTGGTGGAGGGATGGGTGTTTGATCATTGTGTGATTGTAACCCAAACATGAAAGCTTGTAAATATCTCATGGGGATTCAATAAAATTAAAAAAATTATTCCCTATATATCACATAGCATTGTTAGCTATAGTCATTGTGTTGCACATTACTTAATATTCTAGTGCTTATCTATTTATTTGGGGTCATATCTAGCAGTATTGAGCAAAGGCAGGTGTCCCCTTCCCCTAAAAAAAAGGAGAGAAAAGTGGGATATTTCTAAGGACACTTTCCACGTTGTTCTTTTATTTTTATTTTCTTTTTATTAGACACCACACCTGATGGTATCCTACATCTGATTGGTGATTCAAAGGCCTGCCTGCTTTTGGTAAACCATGAGGTGCAGAGAATTCAACTCAGGATCTTGGTTATACATAGCACTTGTGTTTTCTCCTGAACCCTGCACTTGACTTCATGTCCTCTTTAACCCATTTGTATACACAGCTGGTTAGATAGTGCAGCAACCTGTCAATTAACTACTACATTACTATGGGTCAGTGCAGAGAATTATAATCCCATTTGTCATATAAGATCTATCAATATTAATAAGAAATATACTTCAGTTTCACAACCTATCACTTAGCCTCAAAATATTTTAATTGCCAGCATATTTAGGATAAATATTAAACAAAATGTATAATAAAATCATATATACTTTTAAAACTACCAGTTAAAATTTCAGGACATAAGAAATTAAAAAGTTGTTATAATAATGTTTCTGTGCACAGGTGTTGCTCATATATTTTATTTTCAAAACAACATTTTTGCATGAAATAGCCAGAAAATTCAAGTAAATATCTAGAAAATTCAGGCATATCCTGACATTCAATAAGTTCAATGTTATCCATCTTTGACACATTTTTAATATAATGAACTAAATAACAATATTGCTTGACAAAGCTAAGAATTTTATATTAGGTATAAGGTTTGGTTAGTTTTATCATAGCAGTATTTCCATAAAAAGCCAACTATTATACCTTTACAAGAGAATTCAATATACTTCATGAACTTGCTTTCTACATTGTGCAAAATTAACAGAGAATTAAATTTTAAGGACTCTCAGTATACTAGAATTATCAGTGTTCTTTCATATCAAATGAAAAATCAATGATGGGTAAATCCTTTCATGACTGTCCAGGATGCAGCTCTTCCTATTTTACTCTGTTATTATGTTGCATATATGCATGGGATTCACCTTGGCATTCATACCCTTCTCTTCTGTAAGTTCCCAAAAATAAAAGTAAGACTTTCCTCAGATTTTGTCTTCATGACCTTTGCCAAACTCATTTCATAGAAAACGTTGTCTTTAATGGTCATAGCTACAATATAGTGTGTAGGGTGCTGGCTTGCACATAACAGACCTGGGTTTGACCCCCAGAATTCCATATGGTCCTGTGTCCTACTGAAAGTGATCTTCGAGTCAAGGGTAAGTCCTCAGCACAGCTTGGTGTGATCCAGAAAAATTATAAACCAAAATATTGTCTTTTTTTATGTGCCATTATCATCATCTATATGGTACATTGAGGATGAAGCAATGTTGGGAATTGGTGAGAAACAGAAAACACCATTTACTATTTCATTCAACCTGTTCACTAAGAGGTTCAATTTTCGTTCTGGGATTTATCAGCAGTATAAAAGTTTTCTTAATATCTTCAGTAAATTGGATTTCTCCTCTGTTCTTGGGCATTATAATCACCCAATAAAATTTAATTGAGAGAACAATAAAACCTATGGCTGTTTCTGGTTTCTTGTCAATACTACAGATTTTACACTCTAAACCCCAACTCAGATAGAAGAGTAAAAACCAAGAAATTGGGCAATAATGAAAAACTGACCAAAAAAAGTGAATCTGGAGCACAGGATCTTGCTGTATGCATATAATCCATTGTTCTCTAACTTTTCAAACTAGAATGTCACTGTCACTGTCACTGTCACTGTCACTGTCCTCCACGTTCATTGATTTGCTCGAGCTGACCCAGTAACGTCTCCATTGTGAGACTTGTTCTTACCATGTTTGGCATATTGAATATGTCACTGGGAGCTTGCCAGGCTTTGCCATGCAGGTGAGATACTCTCAGTAGCTTGCCAAGCTCTCCGAGAGGGGCAGAGGAATTGAACCTGGGTCAGTCAGGTTGGCCACGTGCAAGGCAACTTTAAATCAACTTTTTTTTTTGGCAAATGTTTTACATGACTATTGTGAGGATTGGGTGAACTAGTGTAAGAGCATAGAGTTAAATATAATTGCAAACACCATATAGTTATAGCTATCCGATAGAAATGATATATGCAACTATACTTGTACAAATGTCATATTCAGAAAAACTTGCATGAGTTTCCCAAATCAGTACTACAATGTATATTATGACTTAGGCTAGTTACATATAAAGTAATTTGGAGTGTTCATAGTTTTATAAAGAATTCACTTAAACTTCTATAGGTTTATAATTATCAAATTTACGATGTTGCTTACATAGGTAATGTTGTAATGCTTATCTTATAACTTGAAAAAAGTAAACAATGACATTTTCAAGAAGATATTACTAATGTTTTATCATAAAAGATAATATTCTTTCATCTGAACTAGCTGTAGGTAGATATTATTAATATCAATTTATTAGAAATATTTTAATCATTCAAGAACATAAAAGCCACAAAAATTGAGCAAAGAAAATGTATAGTTATTAGGGCCTGAGTGATAGCACAGCGGGTAGGGCGTTTGCCTTGCGCACGGTCAACCCGGGTTCGATTTCCAGCATCCCACATGGTCCCCTAAGCATAGCCAGGAGTAATTCCTGAGAGCAGAGCCAGGAGTATCCCCTATGCTTTGCCAGGTGTAACCCAAAAAGAAGAAAAAAGAAAGAAAATGTTTAGTTATTAAAACTATATCATATAAACATTAATGTGTGTTTATATGTATTAGAAATATTCTCTCTTGTAACTTTTAGGGCTGGAGCGATAGCACAGCGGGTGAGCAGGGTTCAATTCCTATGCCCCTCTCGAAGAGCCTGGCAAGCTACCGAGAGTATCTCGCCCGCACAGCAAAGCCTGACAAGATACCTGTGACGCATTCAATATGCCAAACACAGTAACAAGTCTCACAGTGGAGACTTACTGATCCTGCTTGAGCAAATCAATGAACAACAGAATGACAGTGCTACAGTGCTACAGTAACTCATAGAAGGTGATTTAGTTGAAAACAAGTGTAAAACATCAATGCTGCAACTTATGATCCATTAAGAATTCCTTGCAGGGGGGAATGCCCTGCCACAGCAGCAGGGTGGGATGGGGGGGGGTGGGGAGTGGGAGGGATGCTAGGACCCGTGGTGGGAGAGGATGGGCATTGGTGGAGGGATGGGTACTTGATCATTGTATAACTGAAACCCAAGCACAAAAATTTATAAGTCTATAAGTGTACTTCATTGTGTTTCACTAATAAAAAAATGATAAAAAAAATTTAAAAAAATAAAAAATATATATTCACATGAAAAAAAATTTGTAGTAAAGCAATTTCTGTGCTTTGGGGTACCTGTCTTAATATTTATCTTAAGTTGGCTTAACTGAACTTAAAATCTGTAAATTTATTTTTTATGAATTCTGAAAAAGTTTTTATTATTTCAACTATTATTGTTCATTCTCTATCTCCTTTCTTTGAGAACATTAAACATATGATTTCATTTGATTCCTCAAAAAAAAAAAGAATTCCTTGCAATGTACTTTGTATATGGTATACCATTTAGCAAAGAGTTTGTTAGCAAGATAAGAATACCATATTTTTCTCTGGTAATTCCAGATATGTTCAGACATCAAACTCCAATATTTGTAGCTGTTACTACATTAGTTTAAATATTAATTCTGAGATAGTTATTTAGTAAATAAAATAACCCCTTTTTTCAAAATGTCACTAAAAGAATAAAGTAAAGTTAATCATGGGACTAGATGAGTCAATGTAATGTTAAGGATATATTGAATAGTGAATCTACTTGTGATAAAATTAATTTAAACAGATTCTCTATGATATTTACTCCACACAGTATTCAAAGAAAAGGAAAATTGTAATTCTCTCAAACTAACTCCACTCCTCAAACATGTAGTGATAAAACAATCTGACAAACAACCATTATTAATTAGAGCCCAGTGTAGTAAAGTGTCATAAGTGAATGGTATCATACTGTCATTGTTTATTCACCCCATACTAAGAACTAAAACTTTTCTAATATTTTAAGGGTAAAGAATAGTCATCATGGAAAGTGGGTCTGTAGGGTATGAGAGACAGATAGGGTCTAAAGCAAAAGAAATAATTTATTATCAAATATTGAGAAAAATTTTTATTCCATTATTAAAACCATGAAAAGTAAGTGTTTGTGTTCAATACTAGATATACACCACTAAAAATTCACATTAATTCAGGACACAGATATGAAGCTATTATTTTACAAGTGAGAGAGGCAACATTTTCTGTAATTCTGTGAAAGTACTGAAGTGATATATATCATAGGGAATTTAAACTTGGAAATATCCAAGTATAGTTCTACTTTTGAATTAAATTTTTCCAATTTGTATTTCATTACCATGATATTGTTTCTAATAGTGTTTTGAACAAAGATGTTCCAACACCATTCACCACTAGAGTGTTAGCAGTCAGCCACTAACATTTTTGTGTTTCAGCCTCAGAGTACACTTTCAAATTTTAATGTCTTTGAAATGTCATTAAAATGTCCTTAAAGAAAAATGATTTTGCTTCTAGTTTAAGAAAGCAAACTTACATGATTGTCAATGATCCGTGTCAACTCTTTGTCTGCTTTTGTGAAGAAATCTGGATATGGGCACAAGGAGAGTTCTGCTACAGAAGAATGGACCCTTCAAAATAACATAAGAAAAGGTAAAATATTAGGTACATATGTTTCTTCTCTCATGTATATATAGATCACAAGTCATGATATATTATTACATATTTTGAGTCAATGTTGTTAATATAAAACACTCTGTGTAGACTACTATGCACTTTTATTTATACTATATTCTCTTAGTTCTTGTAAGCCAGTTTGGGTTACTAAAAAACTTTTAAGATGAATATGACACATAGAAATGAGATATTGAGAAATAGACCCTTTCCTCCTTGAATATATACATGTATATACACAACAGATAGGTAACAAATGTGATGTCAGCATGAAAAGGGCTGGAAAGACTTGTCTGCACTCTTGGGGATATTGCACGTTCAACTCCACAGCCTTGTAAATTCTGCTCTAAGTTTGTGACTAATAATCTGGTTGGTGATATATTAAAATGTATTTATTTTGGTACTTTTTAAATGATTCTTGAACTACTAGAAGTAAATGATGGAAGCAGCTTAACGGCAATTCCATGTTAGTGTTTGGATTCAAAATAGAGCTCTAAACTAGGTGGGATCTAGTGTTAAACTGTGCAAACAAGGGTTCTATTTTTTTAAAGTTAGAGTAAAGTAATTATGATGAGTTCAGAAAATGTAAAAGAAAATTCTAATAAAGAATATAATTCTGAATCTTAAAAAATAAATAAATAACAGGGGTTTTAAAGGAAAAACTCTTAAATTAGTCTGAGAACAGAAAGACAGCTGCTAGAAAATTCCACAACCAAAACCTTCAATTTTTAAGACTTTAATGTCTAACATATTAACATAATTTGTTTTTAATTTTTGGATCATGCCCAACTGTACTCAAGGCTTACTACTGGTTGTGCTCTCAAGGATCATTCCTACAGGGTCAGGGTACCATGTGATGTCGAGGTTCTAAGCCTGAATATAGTACTTGCTCTACTTATTATCTTGCTAGGCCCATAGAACATTCTCTTCTCAAGACTAGTCTATTATAACTAGATCTTCTACCTTTATATTGCATCAAATACTTCTCAGATGCTTTCCGATTATCTTCATAAAAACCACCATCATGGTTTCGTTAGTTGATACCACTATCACTTACATGGACTGTGGCCTCCTTTTCTGAAGTCTATGTATATACTAACCCATATTTAAATTCTAGTTACTATACCATAGTCAAAAATTTTCTTTTTTTCAAAATACACAGCAGATTATATCATTCTCCTACATTGAACTGTTTAATAACTTTATTATTTTATTTATTTATTTATTTATTTGATCTCTATTAAGATCAAATTTGTTGTTAAGGAAGCCTCATGTAGCCCTTGCATATTTTAATCAGGTTCTTCTGTTTTTCCCTTCTTGGCTTAGATCTGTGCCTGCTCAGAGCACAGCCCTTCTCATAGCTACTCGAATTGCAGATTGCTCTAGTACATTGTTTACACAAGCCACCACCCCTCTCTGAAGTGCGCTTTCCTCCTCTGTTTCTTTCCTTTCTTATAATTTACTTAAATTTCATTTTGTTATTTTACTTTTTTAATTGAATCGCCATGAGATATACAGTTACAAAGTTGTCATGATTGTGTCTCAGTCATGCAAAATTCCAGCACCTGTCCCTCCACCAGTATACATTTGCATGTGCGATTGAATGGCAGAATTCTCTCCTAACTTCTCTATTCCTGATGCAGACAGGGCTAGTTGGCACCTACTTAAGCTTCAGCTCTTAGTTCAACCCCAGTAGTGCAGATTTCAACTCACCATGTTTATCTAAGTTGTAGTTTTATATTGCATATATTTCTACAGTTTAGTTTTATATTTGTGGAAATCTTTGCTTGCTTATCATTATTTATTGTTATTGCTCCTCCATGCACCAAACACTGCCTCTAGGCATTCCGAGAATGTTTGTGTATTTGTGAATATTTAATAAATAGAAGTTGTGCTATAATTTAATCCCCTAAATTTTCCATATTATTCGTAATACGTCAGTAGAGCAGTCCCGGTGCACGAAGAGGCTGCAATCTCAAGAAACAAGCCAACGGGTGGACTTAGTAGCAATTCAAAAGGAAGCAACTTAAATGTCAAGTGATCAAGGGAAGTGGATGGAGGCTTCTCCAACATTTAAGATTGACTGTAATTGTGGTACAGAAAAATGATGACCTTCCACATTCATGTATAATAGACATTTTTAACTATTACATTTAAATATTAAAGTAGGGGCTAGGGCAATAGTACAGCATGTTGGGCACTTTACCTTGCACACAGTAGACCCAAGTTCAATCCCCAACTCTCTGTTTCCCTAAGCACAGCAAAAAGCAATCCCTGAGTTACAAACCAGGAGTAAACTATGAACATTTCCAGGCATGTCCCCCAAACCAAGAAGGTAAAATTATTCATGTAAAATACGACTCTAGAATGCTTGGAAATCTGAGTTTTAACTACATTCATTTAACAAATGGGAACTCCTGGGGGATTTTGATATTCAAAGTATTGTGCTTAATTTGAAGATAATTCATTAGAGGAAGGCATGACTTTTAAAAAGTACCAAAATAAAAGAGACTAAGTAGTAGAAATGGATTTAAACAAAACAATTCAGAATATCTTAATGAGATATAGAACTTAATATATGAATCTAAATGAGAAATGAAAATAAAGATGATGTGTTACAATACAGGTCTGTTGTAACAAATTACCACAAATTTGTAGAACTGAAAGACAAATATATTATCTCACAGTTCTAGAAGCCAAAAATCAGGCATTGTCAACGGCTGGTTTTTCTGGAGATTCTGGGGTGAATGAGTCCTGCTTCTCTGAGCTATTAGAAGTCCTAGCTACTAGAAGCACCTCGCATTCTGTGCCTTTTAGGCATACCGCTCCATCTTTTGTCTTTTACTTTTACTGGGTAAATTTTGGGTCACATCAAGCAATGCTCAGATGTTATTGCTGGCTCTGCACTCAGGAAACACAACTTGTGGTGCTCAGGGGACTATAGGGAATGGTAGGGACTGCGTGCTAGGCAAGCACCCTATTGCTGAGGGTATCTCCAGCCCCCTCCATTTTTGCCTTAACATGGAGTTTTTTTCTTTCCATTCTTTTATGTCTTCTGTATCTTATGTGATCCTCATCTAAGTACACAAAAGTACTGCCACTGGGTGTCAGGCCCACACAACTGACATAACCTTATTTCCCCCTCCTCTCCGCAGCTAGAATAAATCGTGTGCAATTGTAAATTCTTTTCTTCTAGTCTATTGCTACTTTTACAATGTTTCTTCTCAAAATCTTGACATAATTTGCATTAAAATCCAATCCTTAAGAATGGTAGTTAGTGCTCAAATATTAATTTCTTTTTTTTTTTTTTTGGGTTATGCCCGGCACTCCACAGGGGTTACTTCTGGCTCTGTACTCAAGAATTACTCCTAGCAGTGCTCAGAGGACCATATGAGATGCTGGGAAACGAATCTGTGTCGGCCGTGTGCAAGGCAAATGCCCTACCCGCTGTGCTATCTCTCTAGCCCCTCAAATATTAATAAATTTTTTGAATGTAAAATCCTCCTAATAAAAAAATACAAGATAAACTCATCACATTGACCAACTTTTTCTCCAATATTCTCTATTACTTTCCTACTAGCTCACTATACACTTTATATGTGTGTATACATACATACATACATATTATATTATAAATATACATACATAAAACATCAGAGTAAAGCAAAAACCTAATTACAAAATGGGCAAATATACTGAATAATATCAGTAAATAATATTGAAATATACCTGAATAATAGGTTTTCCCAGGGACTGAAAGATAAGAAGCTTTTCTTTCAAAGACTAAACCCAGTTCAACAGCCTCCACCACAGATGGCTCCCCGAATACCATCAAGAGTGAGCACAGATCCAGGAGTAGCTGCTGAATACAACTCTGTGACCAATCACACCCTAAATTTCTTTTCAGTGCTAATCATGATAAAAAACTATCCTTTAGTCATTATGTGGCTCTGACTCCCTTGTCAAATATTGAACACATATACAAGAGTTTGTTTTGGGTCTCTTGATCTTATTCTATGAGGTTATATGTCTGGCTTTATGCAGATATTATCAACTATTATAATTTTTTTAATACAGTTTTAAATCAGTAGGAGGGATACATTTATCTTTGTTTATCTCAGTATTGCATTGGCTAACTTCCTTCTTTAATAGTTTCATATGTGTTTCTGTGACAATTTTTATTACAATGTCATTAAAATTTTAAGGTTTTCATTGCTATTATAGCGTGAATATTTTCTTTTGCTTTGAGCTACTTTATTGTTCATGTAAGTTTTCATTCAAATCATCAGCAGATTCTTAATAGGTATGACTCAGCAAAATTCTGAGTTTTTATTGCTTCTTTATTCAATCTTGCTTAAGCTATACTGATCTGAGAATTCATCAATTCATTTTCATATAAGCATTTTTTTCACATATCCTTATAGTAGACTCTTTGATCTTTCATATTTCTATAAAATTTATTGTAATACTTTTATATTCTAATTTATTTGAGTTTTTAATACTTAGATTGTATATAATATATAGTTTATGTTTTCAGATAGCAAATACTTTGCTTAGTCCATCTTTTATGTGTTCTACTTGCTTTTCCTATTCTGATTTTTGCTCTTTTCTTTTCCTGATAAGTTTTAACTTTATTTATTATTCCCTTTCTAATTTTTTTTTTGCTTTTTGGGTCACACCCAGCGATGTACCACAGGGGTTACTCCTGGCTCATGCACTCAGGAGTTACTCCTGGCAGAGCTGGGTGTACCATATGAGATGCTGCTGGGAATGGAACCCCTGGGTCGGTCCCATGCAAGGCAAATGTCCTACCCACTGTTCTATCGCTCCAGCCCCCCCTTTCTAATTTTTTGAGGTATAAATTTATGCTATTCATTGGAATTTTTTCTTAATATAGGGATTTATTACTATAAACTTCCCTTTTAGAACTGCTTTTGTTGAATTTATTAGTTTTTGT